AGTGTCTTTAGAAGATTTTCCCCTGCCCACGTAAAAAAAAAGTAAAACACACATACATACATACATACTCACCTTGAGATTGTTTCTAACAAAAACAATTCCAACAATACTGCTTATTCTGAGGTAAGCAAACAAGTTTAAGTTAATGTGTTTTTAACTTTTGACAAATATATAAAAGTTAAATTGTTATGTTTTCTGCAGAAGAATGTATATTCTCAATATATTCAACATAATATTATGAGCAGAACCAAACCATCAAAACGAATATTAAAAATTTGTCTTCTTTTATTTATAAAATAAATGTCTTAATTTTTATAAAATTTGATCTTTGCTGAAATAAATTGCCTATATAGATTGATTTGTGTTGTGTATAAAATGTGTTGTCTTGCAGATTAATCGCCACCCTTGCTCTACAGAAAGTTCAATACGCCGCAAAGACAATTGAAGAAAAAAAGGCCAGAAATAAGAATTTAAACAACTTAAAGCAATAAAAAGGAAAAAATGTTATATAAAATAGAACAAAATAAAAAAGTCACTGGCTAAGAAGCCAATCTGCAAGTAAGTTGACCATATTTATTATAATTATTTATTTATTGGGTGCTATTTGCACAAGGCTAAATCCAAAACTTTTGCTATTCAAACAAAAAATATGAAAGATACTTGATTATTACTTCTTGTATTACTACTATTTGCAGTAAATTATAGTAATTTGCAGTATGACTACTACTTACAATGATTAGTATTGGTGGTTCATATAGGATTTGTCTTAGTTTATTAAGAAGAAAAATCTGATGCCTTGTTATATTCATATGTTTTGATCAGTTTCAAGGTGTCCTCAATGTAAATATCCAAGTATTACACGTTCTGGTTCTTATTGATGTACAAGCGAAATTTTCTTATTTATTATCTAGCTTTTGAATTTTTATACTGTAAATTTTGGGAGTACTGTCCATGTAGCCATAACCTAAGTAGACTGCCTTAACTTTGGTTAGCATTAGATTGTTTGCTGTTAATAAGGCAGCCAGTATTCACTTTCCTTTTTTCATAGTGGATAAATCATGTTTCTATAAATAGTAAATAACTTCCTCTAACATGTGGTGCAGCCAGAATCCATGTTTTGGTGGTTCTTGTTATTGAAAAATCATTTGATAGCAAAATGTTTGTCTGTTCAATTTTCTAGCCAATGTTTTCCATAATTGATTTTGCCTGATCAATCTGAATGAACTCGAGGCTTTGCGAGTTTGAAGCTAATTATATGATTTTTGAGGGTGTTTTACATTAAAGCCTCAACATTTTCAACATCTCAAAAAGACATGAAATTTTTTTATTATAATTTGCCCACGGATAGCATAAAGGTCACTTAAGAAAATGGAGAAGGTTTCATTTTCATTAAAATCCCCGATTGTTTGGAAATTGCAAAGGTGCAATTTTTTTTCTTCAAGTTCCTGCAACTCCAGAATTGAAGGTAGACTTTACTCAATTGAAATCTGTTTTGCAATGACAGAATATAAAGTAAGGACATGTACAATTTTTCAAAAATTCGAAGTAGTTTTTGTATGATATATGGTCATTTTTAAAAATTTTTACTAAACAATTTTTTCTTTGGAAAAAATGCTCTTAATTTTTTCTTAAAATGTTCTATATATGTATAGCAATATATGTATTAATAAACAGTTATAATATTTGGTCCCATTTTTTGCAAACTCTTCTTTATTTGAAAATTGTAAGTAATTTATTTATTTACATAGAAGCAGCAAAGCTGATGTACCCATATCTCATACACAGTTGTTGTCATTTAAGCAATTTATAAACTTAATTTGCTTGGTAACTGTTTTATGAGGTCTTGAAAGACACATTCTTTTTCACAACAATGTCCACTGGGAGAGCATTCCATTTGTTCATAAGACTATTTGTGATGAAATGCGTTTTCATTTCAAGGACAGTTTTGCGTGTTTATGACTGTTTTGTGTGTTTTTGCCCCCCAGAGGCACCCCCAGAGACAGATGCTAGCCGAGCCATGCTAACCATGAGTTATTGTAATGGACAATGCACCTGTTCAATCTGTGCTGGTGAGTGACATTTCATCAATTGTTTTTTTAGAAATGTGAAAAATATTCATTCAAATAATACACTCATTCATTGATAAAAATAACTGATTATAAAAAGAGTCTTAAAACTACATAGTGGGGAAAGTGGATGTTTCAACTTTTATTTCATCACTAAAAAGGGTAGAATAAAAAAAATATTACATTCAATGGTGTTCAATGATTTTAGTTATATCAGTAATACAATTTTTCTTAGAGAACAACTTTGCCAGTAGAATGTTTTATATGTATTTATAGAGAGAATGGAAATAAATGCATGTTATCTTTGAATATAACTGAAATATTTAAACATCCTTTTGTCATTTCCAATTTTTTAGAAAGTGAAAAGGCCTTCATTAAAATGTAGGAAGGGTGACCTGCAGCATTTTCTATCTCAGCACTACATACCTTTTAGACCTGAGCATACCCTTCAGGGTCTTCTTTTAAAAACTTCTGAAGTAATTGTTCTGAAAAGGTACTCTTAAGCATAAGTTTTGTAGAATTAATCATAGAATAAGGCAGTTTTATTTTTTGCAAGATTTTGATACTATGTGATTGCCAATGTTTTCATGATTTGAAAAATCCTATCAGTTGATGTGGGTGCAGATATGTTGGAGATGAAATAACTGAAGAAGCTGTACATAGAGTTTTGCACCTCTCCCTACCATTGTCACTACAATCCTGTGGTTGGTATGGAGCCAGTGCAAAAGGTACAATCAGAGACATCACAGAACCACTTTTGACCACCAAGCAATGACAAGAAATGGGAGCAGGCATTAAACCAGGTTTCAGTGGAGAAGTAAGTGTTTATTAAAATAAGTACTGATTCATTCTGTACATTGCTTTAGTTGGAAGAATTATGTGGGACACACAAAGAAAATTATAGAAGAAGATTCGAAAATAGAAGTTAGACAGGATGCTTCAGGGATTTCTGTCACAGGAAATATTCAGGATGATTCTGATGATGATAACGTTCCTCGTGCTGTTCCCATGCCTGGGCCATCTGGTGTCTCTACTTAAGAGAGATATGATCAGTATATTGACATGTTTAATGCAGTATATTTTATCGGTTTGAAAAAAGATTTGTCATAACTCTTTTTCTTCTCTGGTGCAGAATTGTGGAAGTTGGTATTATTTCATCAAAGGCAAGTAAGTGGTTACATCCCAGATGAAATAGTGAATCTTTATTGTTTTTAAGCTGATCTAGGCCCTTCATTATGTCTGACATTTTAACTTCCTTTGTAAATTATTTTCAGTAATTATTGTACATCTTTAATTTTTTTATTAGAAGGAAGATGTTTTTCAGTTATATGAAGTTAATTCTTTATGTACATGACTCAGGTATGTAAAATGTGTGAATGAAAGTATGTGAAGTAAAGGTGTGATTGTGTATGAATGGGTTGAAAATATATTCTAATAACATTCATGCATACTCATAAAAAATGAACTTCAAGTAAAAGAAAAATTAGTCCTTTTAATAAAAAATGAAATAGAAATGCTGATTAATGAAAAGAAATGTATTTTTTGATCAGTATATTAGTTTCTCGTATTGTACGTCTTAATGCAATACATTATTAAAATTATCAAAATCAGCTGTTAGGTCTGCTTTGATAACGAATAAAGTGTTGTCATAAAAGAAGATACAATACGTACATTGTTCTCCTTTGTTTTATCCTCTTTGTAAAAATTCACATGTATAATTTTTATTCCAAAATGTTTACTCCTCACCCTGGCAAATGTGGTAGGCTGAGGCTGGAGATGTTAATAGTAGGCTGTGAAATTTTTCTAAAAGAACTTAGGAAACTAATTTTGATTTTGTATAGTTTGACTTTAAATTATCTAAGTGGATAAAATTTATTGAACTTCAAATGGATTCGGTGGAAATGTTGCATCCTGCAAATAAATAACTATGCAAATAAAGGGAATTATTTTTTCACTTACACATTTGCTTTTTTATGTTTCCTTTCACCTAACTTCTAATTGACTTTGATATTTAGATAAAGAAGTTATTGAAGGTATGAAACATTTCAATTTTCATTTCCAAGGCTAAAACTTTAACAGTGGTCATGAAAAACCATTTATCTTTCATTATTTGCAATATATTATTTAATTTCCTTTTAATGACAGGTGAGTTCAATAATTTATAGCACTTTTTAACCCATTTTTATTTTATGTTTAAGAACCGACTTGATTGCCATATTTAAGAAATATACCTCAAGTTACTGATCACTTGAATTAACTGAGGATTCTGCCAAACAGTACTCCACAATATCTACTAACTTGTATCCTTTTCCTCACAGAAATCTTTGTATGTAGTTGATGTACACATAGGGATAGGGTATCCAGTACGCTCGAGACACAGTTTTAATGGCGGTGTCTTTGTTCTCGACGCGAGAAGTGTTCGGCGCCATTTGATGATTCGATGCCCTTGAGCGAGGAACAATTCGACGCTTTTGCTCAAGAACTTCGAATGGCAGATGGATTGGGTTCTAACGGAGATGGAGGCGGAAATGACAGCGCCAATCAAGATCACCAGGTTCAGGACATACAACCAGTGCAAGTGGTGATCCACATCATGCAACAGAACCAAGCCACGCTGGAAGCACTACGTCTGGACATGGCGGCCCGCGCAGTGGCTGCGCCGATGCCGCTTATCGTGCCCGATATTGCTCTGCATACCGGACTATCAAGGTTCCGGCGGACCGGGAGCGGCCAGAGTTGGGTTCCAGAGGATCGACACGACGATCAACCTTCGTTAGTCGTCGGAAGAAATGGTGTTCGAAGCAGCGCGATTGCATATCAAAGGCGGTGCCCTTCATTGGTATGAAGCGAGATCAGCCACAATTGTTAACTGGACAACCTTTCCACAGACCTTTCCTGCGTCATTCATCTACGAACGAAGCCAGACTGATTTGTGGCGCGAGATGATGGCACGTGTTCAGAAGCCGGCTTAGAAGATTGCCGACTACTTCCATAATAAGGTGCATCATTGCTGTGAGTTGGGGCTCAATGACGAGTAGCTGGACTGCGGTCGACGTCAAGGAGTGACTTGGCTAAAATTTAGTGTACGGTACAACCTAAGCAAGTCGTTTAAACCGGCGTCGCTCCGGCGACAAGGAACGGGGACGAGGTGGGGAGGAGTGGTGATCAATATGCGTAATAATAAAATTATATAATCTGTCAAGCAAAGCGCGGGCAATTTAATGAAATAGAAAAAAATACACTTATGAAATAGCTTTAATGGTTCGTAATTGGGCACGAACGTGACGTCAAGAGTTAGGAGGGGAGGTCGATTTTTCCGTAGTATCTCGTCGGAGCTTCATTCCATGGCGGTGCCTAGTAGCGTTGAAGTGATGTTTTTCTGTGTCGGGGTAGCTGTCGAAGTGGTTATCTACGTTGCTGACGTACAGTTACGTTTCTTGCGTTCTTAAGATTCTTTGTAATTTGTGTTTTTGAGTGTTCAGTGTCTGTGCTACGATAGTGTGAATAAATGTGACTTTTTTTACGCGTTTCGCCGAAGGGGGTGTTTGGTTGTTTTTGAATGGGCGCAAGAACATGGTTTGATTGTTACAGGATTTAGGAATCTTGTGTGAAGTGTCCAAGAAGGTTGGCCAATGAAAGGAGTTATGATGGTTCCGAGTGGGTGTAGCAAGAAAACGGCCAGTGCGGAAGTGGTCATGGTTCACGCAGGTGGCCAGTTCGACAGCTACCTGGCAGAATGTTTGGAGACGCCTGCAAGGGGGCAAAAACCCAACTGAGAGGTTTTTGTCGTTCGAGGGCGCGTCCAAACTACGAGCAGTAACAATCGCCAATCGGCAAGTTTTATTCATTTCTATGAGAGCGCATAGCGTAATTTGAGGGACGGCTTAAGGAGACTCCCCCCCCCCCACCGCCACGCTTCACCAAGGGTGTACCGTATACTAAATTTTAACCAGGAACTTTGTGATGGCAAAGACGTTTTCCGGTCTCGATCATGTCCTGAGATCACTTAATGGGTATGAGGAGGAGCGCAATCTAATTTTCTGGAAGAAACCTTCAGTACCGACGCAGACGAGCAACGAGCCAACCTCGCAGCAGGGAAGGTGGCGGCGACCAGAACGACAGTCGAGCAGCGGAACTCGACGATCCAGCGGTGGGTCGACGGCGGAGTGACACAACAGATCAACGGGGAGTGCAAGATGTTCGCATTTCGCTGTTATAGGTGCGATGGTCCGGTTCATGCCCGACATTGTACAGCGCCTCGCAAGGAAGTCACATGTTACAAATGTGATCAGATAGGGCATTTAGCCAGAAAATTTCATTTCAATAAAAATGAGACTAAAAAAGAGGTTGGCTTCCTGCAAGGCGCAGTGTAACATGATGTCATCTCGAAACTTCCTAAAACTGTTTTGATTAAAGGTAAGCCTGTGAAAGCATTTGTAGACGTCGGGAGTGCCATGTGTACCGTTAGGTTAAGTCGCGTTTAATTTGGGGTTCAAAATAAGTCCCCGAGAAAATGAGTTTGTAGGTTTCGAGCAGCAACAAAACGCGATAAAATCCGCCCGGAATAATTCAAGAGTCGTTGACAGTAGATGACCTTGCGCCGCGATTAAGAGTTTCTTGTTGTTCCGGACAAAGTACAAAAATTCGACGATATAATCGGTAGAACGTTTACAGAAAGGGCTGACCTTTATTTACGATTCAGGGAGAAGTTTAAATTTAATCATGTTAAAGATTTTTCCTGTAAATGCCTTTCCCGTACTCGAAATAACAGAGGACGGGCCGATTGTAAATTCAAACTCGATATTGCCACCTAATACTTAACTTCATTGATATTTTAGTTAATGGAACTGTGAGAGAAGTAACCTGCACAAATTTTGCGAACGACGCAGTAACCTTGGTTGAGAACACTGAAGTGGTCCGTGATATACTCAGCATAGAAGAAGTTCCTATGCTTAAACGTAGATATGAGCTGATTGAGGTAAAAGGATTGATTACTGCTTCGGACGTAAATGAACAAAAACTTGAATTGTTGAAAATCATTAATGAGTATAGAGTAGGTGTAGCCAAGAGTTTGGACGAGCTAGGATGTACGAATGAGGTGAAAATGTTCATTAAAATGAAACCGGGGAGCAAGCCTATTTGCGTTAAGCCATATGGAACAAATCCGCGAGACCGTGAAGAACTAAATGATATAGTCTAAGAATATAAAACGGTAGGCATAGTTAGCGAAACTGATACGCAATACGGTAGTTCCGCATTTCTCGTGAGAAACGACGTATCGGTGAGAATGGCCGTGGACTATAGGGCCCTGAATGAAATCCCGGAAAAGGTGCATTTTTCCATGCCACGTTTTGACGACGCACTTGACTATGTGTCGGATAGCGGCTCTTTATAGTTCTAGATTTGGATAGCGGGTTTTTACAGATAACTATTGCTAAGGACTCAAGAAAGTACTCCGCGTTCATAACTGAGAATCACACGGGAAAATTCCGGAGGGCAAATTTCGGCTTGACAAATGCACCGTTCTTTTTTGCAACACTGATGAGAAGAGTTTTGGGGATCGCCGGAAAAGACGTAGCTTTCAATTTCTGTGTTAATACAATAATATTTGCGAAAACTGCTAGTGATTCTCGAGTTACTAAAAATGGGTGGTTTAACATTAAACCGAAAGTAATTAACTTATTATATTAATTATTGAAAGATCAGGAAGCTGTATATGCACGGAATATTATCTACGGTGTGCATGACATTTATAGAGGGATATTAGTTGGAGCTTGCTTTTGAAGAAATTTAGTACTTCACTTACATCTTCAGTTTGTAAGGATTCCACTTGTATGTTTCTTTATTGCTAGTGGGTTTCTTAGTTATTGTTATTCATGATAACTAATTTGTGTTAAATGTGTTGGAGGAATTACTGGTGGTTATATTAGTCTGCGAAAGACGTGCCTATGCATAGGCAGGGATGCCCATACTTTTGTTGCAACCCTGAGTAATTCATTAATTTCTTAACTTGTGGTTGCACGTTACAGTTGCAAATGAATTGCACAAGATCTCGCCAGTGGTAAAGACAACAAAAGTAGGCAAAACATGGGTGGAGAAGGTGCTTAACAATGATCTCTCAACCCATGCGGACATCTTTTATTCTCCCCCTCTATTTTCTGCCTCAGTAAGCTGTTTTTCGATTTGGTGATTGAAAAGCTATATTTTCAGGCTATGTGTGATATTTTAGTGTGAAATTAGGATAATTGGTTAGAAACAGTCATTACTAATGAAACTATGCTAAAAATTTGTCTGGTTATTTTGTATTAATGTGAAAGCTATTAATGGGGAATTTACAGAAAGATTAATTTTTGAAACTGAACTTCATACAATTATTAGCAAAATAATTATCTGTAAAATAGACAAAAATGAATTGCTGCTTGTAGTGCTTTAAAATATTCCCTGCTGCAAATCAAGGAAATACGACACAAAAAGTTTTGTTTTCTTTTTTCATCTGGCTTGCAATAAAAATATTGTGTTAGTGCACATTTGGAAAATAAATTTGCCAGTATGTTTCCCAGCATTTTTGTGTGACCTTTTTTTTTTAAGACTCCACTTTAAGTAACCATATTTGTTGTGACAGCTGTCGTCATTGCTTTGATGTCATTCAGATGTGAAAGTGTATTGTGGTTGCTTAATCAAGTTGCTGGCCTT